CTTTCTTGACTAAAGCAGAACCTCCTCCAAAACCCAGGGCCGAGGCAATTTCCCGCCAATTGAGCTGCTCTGGAGACAGACTGCCCATTTCCATTACCATGGAAAGGCCCGGTAGAACCTTCCAATATTTCTCCAATGAAACCCTAAACCCCTCCCTTTTAAACTTGTTATTTTTATATGTACCTTTATCTTGGGTTATTCAGCAAGCAACTTCCAGGTGCTTGCTGGATTTAGTCTTTTCTCCTGTTAATCCGTCTTTTCTCAGTTAGTTGCAGGCCCCCAACTACTGGACCCAAGTTGGAAGAAGAAAAAGGCTTTCTTCCCAAGAAACCCAGAATAACTTTTCTGTGGCCTGTGCAGCTAGGTTGTGGCTCAGTGGTTTGGCAGAGCTGTGACCTTGTATTTCAAGGACACTTTGCCAACTTAACTCTTCCTTCAGGCTCCTAGCAGGCCAGTGCTTTGGGCTTCACTGGAGACCCTTGTTCACAGTGAGGTTCATCCCTACCATGTGCCCTGGTTTCCCAGGGGCAGGGGTTGGGGAGGGAGTTCCAAATACCCTGGTGAGAGAGACAGACTTAGACAGCACTGGGGACAACTGCAGCCTTCCAGTTGCTCAGGCTGAAAAGTTGTAGTTATTCTTGACTCCTTCCTTCTTTGACACCTCTCATCAATCTAGACAGAAATCATGCCAGCTCTACTTTCTTTTTTTAAAAAATTTTTTATTATTTTTTATTTATTTTTATTTTTTTAGAGACAGAGTCTCACTTTGTTGCCCAGGCTAGAGTGAGTGCCGTGGCATCAGCCTAGCTCACAGCAACCTCAAACTCCTGGGCTTAAGCGATCCTACTGCCTTAGCCTCCCAAGTAGCTGGGACTAAAGGCATGTGCCACCATGCCCAGCTAATTTTTTGTATATTTTAGTTGGTCAATTAATTTCTTTCTATTTATAGTAGAGACAGGGTCTCGCTCTTACTCAGGCTGGTTTTGAACTCCTGACCTCGAGCAATCCGCCCAGCTCAGTCTCCCAGAGTGCTAGGATTACAGGCGTGAGCCACCACACCCGGCTCTACTTTCAAAATATATCCAGAATCTGCCCATATCTCACCATCTTCTCTGCTACCCCCGCGGTCAGAGCTACCCCCGTCTCTTGCCTGCACTAGGGCAAAGCCTCCTAACTCCCTGCTTCTACTCTATTCTCAACACAGCTGCCAGGGTGATCCTTCTAAAACCGAAGTTAGGTCCCATCGTTCCTCTGCGCAAAACTTTCCAGGGGCAGCTCACACCTTACTGGTGTAAAAGCCCCCAAGGCCCAAAAGACCCTTTATCATCTACCCTCCCCATCACTCTGCTCCCCTCACCCCTAACTTATGAGCCCCTAATGAGGCTTCAGCCTCACTGGCTCTTTGGTGATCCTTGAACTTGCTCCTACCTTGGCCTGAGAAATAAAAATCAAGTGCTAAGCCCCCCACAACAGACTGAGTGGATCCCTTTTTGGCCAAGGGGACCCCAGAGAAACCTTAACACTGAGTTCCAGCCAGGTGTGGTGGCTCCGGCTTGTAATTCCAGCACTTTGGGAGGTTGAGACAGGAGGATCACATGAGTTCAGGAGTTTGCGACCAGCCTGGGCAACATAACAAGACCCAATCTCTACCAAAAAAAATAATAAAAATATTAGCCAGGCAAGCAGTGAGCTAGATCACACTTGTGTACTGTAGCCTGGGCGACAGAGCAAGACCCTGTCTCATAAAAACAAAACAAAACTGAGCTCCTAGCCATGTTGGGGGGAGGTCAGACAGACCTCGATATACCCCCTCCCTGGTAGGCTTTCTTCCCTCCCAGTTAAGCAGAACCAGCCCTTTGGGGACTTGTGCAACCACTGAGTTCAACCAACCGCCTAGTGCTTCGCCTTCCTTTTGAGGTTTCCACCCAGCTGGCCAGCATTCCTTCCTGACAAGGGGCTTCCTTGACCATGGAGTGGCTCTGACAGGTCTATGGAGGCTGTGCGGAGGGTTTTCAAGTCCTTTGCTTTGCCTTTTGATATCCAAGGGCTGAAAACTCCACCCTCAGATCATGCAAATTCCACCATTTTTAGAAAATGTGACCCATAAAGCTCAATTTTGCATGTTTCTCCTATTATAAATACTCTGGTTTCTCCTATAGCTTCTTAAATATATTCAGCCACAGCTCGGCGTAAATTCCCGTTCCCTTTATTTCCTTGCCTCAAGTGCCTATTTTCGGCTTCAGCCGGAGGCTGTGCTTCCCAGCCTGCAAGACAGACACCTGCAGGCTGTAACCCTTTATGAGAAGCAAAGCTCTGCGTTCCAAATTTATGAACCCCCTCATGAAGTTGACAGGCCCCTAGAACCTTCTTTAGCAGTTCCCGCTGCCTGGGCTGGTCTTCCCCTGGTATCTACTTGGCTTTCTCACCACCTTCGAGGCATTGCTCCAATCTCACCATGCTATTTAATACTGACCCTGCACGCCCCACCCCCAGACATACACACACCAGCACTCAAGGTTCCTTTTTATCTTTTTTCTTTTCTCCATAGTTTTCATCCTTATATAACTTGTTTATTGTGTTTATTGTTTGTTGTCTATTTTTAATTAGGAAGTAGGTTCCATGAGGGGCAGGGATCTCTTTTACTCAGTGATGTATTCCAAGTGCCTAGAACAGTGTCTGGCATATAGTAGGTGCTCCATGTATGTTTGCTAAATTAATGAAACTAGCCTCCTATGCTCATTCAGGGTGAGAGCTAAGTTTAACTGAAAAAAACAGTCCAGGAATTTTCTGGATAAGAACATTATGGCCCTCAGGGCCAACAGCCATCTGCCCAGGCTCAGAAATTCCCCCAAACACAGAAGAAGACAAAATTCAGCAAACTCAGAGAAGTTTTCAGCCAGATTTCCTTTCCAGAGGTTCCTTATCTTCTCATCTGCAAGAGGATGGGGTAGTGCTGTTGGTCACTGAAATAGTAAAAAGAAAAAGGAAATGAAGGGGCAAGTCCCTGCATACTTCTGTCTGCGGATTAGCCTGGGTCAGTGGACCCACCTGCAGCTGGAATGAGGAAGCCCCTCTCCTAGCTGGGGCAGGGCTGGGGGTGGGGGCAGAAAGGAGTTACATTCTTGCTGAGTCCCTTTACCCCCTTCTCTAGGGGTAACCTGAGGGTTACTAGACAGGGTCTACGAGAATTTAGGTCCCTGCTGTGACCTCTACCTCCTCTCCCCACCCAACACCTTCTGGGGGAGTCCATTGTCCTATTTGATAAAGTGAAGACTGAGTCTGAGTGGGAAGATGGAAGGGGGTTGGCCTTTGGATCAAAGATGTCCTTGGAACTGGGGCCAAAAACTCCTGACCCCTGGCTGGGTGCAGTGGCTCACACCTGTAATCCTAGCACTCTGGGAGGCCGAGGCAGGAGGATCACTTGAGGTCAGGAGTTTGAGACCAGCCTGAGCAAGAGCGAGACCCCGTCTCTACCAAAAATTAGAAAGAAATTAGCCAGACAACTAAAAATATATCGAAAAAATTAGCCGGGCATGGTGGCACATGCCTGTAGTCCCAGCTACTCTGGAGGCTGAGGCAGGAGGATCACTTGAGCCCAGGAGTTTGAGGTTGCTGTCAGCTAGGCTGATGCCATGGCACTCTAGCTCAGGTGATAGAGCGAGACTCTTGTTTCAAACAAACAAACAAACAAACAAAAAACCCCCTGACCCCAAGTGCTGGATTGTGGCTTATATGGACCCCCTCAGCCTCTTCCAGGAGAGTCTTCCTCCCCCTTCCCCTGGGACAACTGCTTCCTCCTTCTAGGCAGCATAGCCCTTTATCCCAACGCAGGGGAAAGTTCTAAAAGACAGTGTCACACACCCGACATAGAATCCCAGACTTCAGGGCCAAGAGGACCTCAGAACGCTTATTGACTGAGGCCCAGAGAGGGCAAACAACTAGTCCAAGTTCACGCGGCCCCTGGGCCACTGTTAAGAACGGAGCAGGAAACAGAACCTGGACCTTCTGATCCATTTTCAAAGTTCTTTCCAGCCCTGAGATTTTGTGATTCCCTGACATGGATCCAGTAGGCTTTCCTCTACCCCAGAGCTGCTATCGTCAGGAAGCTCTTGCCCTGAAATTCCCAGGTGACCTTGTCTGGTCACTGGCTGTGGCCATAACAGCTCATGTCCTTGGCCATTGAAGGAGTAAGAGCCTTCTCTAGGGCATTTGGAAATATATCCAGTAGCTCCGTTTCCCTTCTCGGGGCCCAATCTCTTAAGCTTCCTGAAGTCATTGCCCTAACGCTTCCCTCCGCCTGGGCCCTGAGACTCAGATGAGCTCACTCAACTTTTCCCTTGTCCAGCTAGTCCCTTCTCCATCCCTGTACCTCTGGCCTGGCCAGGGGACATGGTCCTGGCTTCGACTGGGTTGCAGAATCACAGGATGTTGACGACGGAAGGAGGTTAGAAATTAGAGTCCTGTCCCACATCGGGGGCTATTCCTTCTTTCTAATGCTTGAGAATCAGAGTGAATGTCAGGGCTCTCACTCATCTATTAAGCACCTAAGATGCAATTTTGATGAGCGCCAATTATGTAGCAGGCACTGTGTAAGAGCTTTATTATCTCATGTAATCGTTGCAACAACAGTCTACTAAGGTAGGGATTATGCCCATTTTATAGATCAGGAAATTGAGGTTCAGAAAAGTTCTCTAATTTGCCCTAGATCATAGAGCTAATCAGGTCTAGGGTTAGGAATGAAAGTCGGGTCTGACTTAAAGCCCTAGCCCCGGCACAGGAGGAGGGTGGTGTGTGGGGAAGTGGTGGTGAAACACCATCTCCTGTGGACTCCCCAGCTGCAAGACCGATGGGTGAATATCACTGTGGAAATGCTTCCATATCCTCAAATCAAACTTCAGAGAGGAGAGGTCACTGGGCGAGGGGACAGGAGGGTTAGCCTGCTGACAGCCCCAACCTGTCAGCTCTCAGCGTGCACATTGCATTTGTGGTCACCTGGCTGCACCCAGGAAACGACCCAGTCACACACCCAGGCAGGAGGCCTGCCCCTCCTCCCCGGGTTGAGGAAACAGGAAAAGGCGACCAGAGAGGCAGCAAGCAGGTCTGCAGAGCGGCAGTGGCTGGTGCCCCAGCCGGGATGGGCTCTCTCTGGGGCCTGGCTCTGCCCCTTTTCTTCTGCTGGGAGGCTGGGCTGTCCCACAGCTCCGCAGGTGAGGCGGCGAGAGGGGTCCGTGGGGGCTTCTCCCCCCGCGGGGCTCTGGGTGTGAGTTTCAGTACGGGCAGCCGAGGCTGAGGGTAGGCTCTCTTGGGTAATTATAATTAACCATAAATGTATATGTCATTATTGTTGATAGTACGCAAATGACAGTGTGTGACAGCTGAAGCAGGCGTGACACTGCAGTGCCTGCAAATGAACACTGATGCTGCAGATGCTGTCGTTGTCAGTGCTGTCATTGTAAGGGTCACCCGAGTTTGTCTTTATGCCTGTGGGAGTGCGAGTGGGGTGGGGAAGGGGACGGAGGGTGTCAGCTGGTGATAATTCTGCTGAAGCTGAAGAAGGTAGCTTAACAAGATAGTGACTCCTCTGAGTTTATTACCTAGCACATCTCCTTCAAAGTACAGCTTGTGTGAGAAAAACTGCTTGGGAAGGGTGGATGCTGAGAGAGGCAGGACTTTTATGAAAAAAGAGAACAGACACTGATCTGTCGCTAGTAGGAACTGTGCCAAACTTGTCACATACATTAAAAAGAATAGACTATTTTTCAGAGCAGTTTTATGTTCACAGCCAAGCAAGGGCAGAGTTCCCATGGATCTCCCGTTCCTACCACATACAACCTCCCCACCAGGCCGGTACATTTGCTGCATGGATGGACCTACATTGACACATCATCATACAGTCTCCTTTTAATCTTCACAATAGCCCTTGGAGATAAACACTATTCTTACCACCTCTGCCCCATTAACAGGCAGGGGCCTGAGGCTTGCTGGGATTAAGCAACTCATCCCAGAGCTAGGACAGGGTTGCACATGTGCCTAACCACTGCACCACACTGCCTCCCGCATGCGCTCGCAGTCTACCAGGTTTGTGCCGCACATTTTCCAATTAATTTAATCCTCACAACCCCATGCAATAGGTACTCCTAGCTCCGTTTCACAGATGAGAAAATTCAGGCTTGGAGCTGGGAGACCTGGCTCCCAGGGTCACATGGTCAGCAGGCAGCAGAGCGAGCAGCGGACAGGGGGACTAAAACCAGAGTCCGAAGTCCACATGCTTTCCTCTCCTCCAGATGGCAGAGGGGACCAGCAGAGCTGCCATGTGCCAGAGCTGTGCAGGGGCTGTGGTGGGCTCTGCTCATTCGAGAAGACCCCTGGCAGGCAGGAGCCGTGGGCAGGGGCTTGCAAGGGCCCCGGAAGGAAGAGGCTATGGGCTCGAGGAGCATGAGGAGGTTGCACAGCAGAAATGACACCCCAGGGCTCCTGGGAAAGGAAGAAAATGCCTCAGGAGAGGTCAGGGTGAGCGTGGCACAGTTTGGGCTGCAGGCTGCATGGGCTGAGGCAGGCTCTGGTTCCACCCTGCGGGGACAGACCCAGAAGGCTCAGAAATATCTCGGGCCTCGAAGTGGGGAGAAAAGAAAGTGTATTCTGACGGCCAGCCGGCAGTTCCTGTAAAAGTGCGATGTGCGTGTGAGTTGGGCTGCACTGGATGGGGATGAGACCGTGTGCCGTGTCCCGCCTAAAGTGCTCGGGGTACAGCCTGTGGTCCTCACTGCCGCAAAATAAAATAGCTCGTGCCTTTCAGGGACTGCTTGAGAGCACAGCACGGGGGCAAGATGCTTAATGACCTCTTGCTGCTTCGGAATCTGAGAGCTTCACCATCCGCCTTCTCATTTGTTCCTTACCACCTTGGGGGGGGGGGCTTGTGACCCTGCTTTCCCTGGTGAGGACGAGGACACTGGGAGAGGTGTAGTGGCTGGCCTGGCTGGCAGGAGGCAGAGCCGGGATTTGGGCCAGCAGGTCATGTCATGCCAGAGCTGGTGGTGGGTGGTGGAACTAGAGCTGCCACCTGGCTCGTGGCTCCCGCCCATCCTGGAGGACCTGGGGGCCCATCCTGACACCTTGGGGAGAGGTCCTGCACCTGTTTGGGGTCTGCGGGCTACTTTGGAGCCAGTGCTTCTCAGTAAAGACCATCTCAAGCCACCAGAACGCCAAAAATGGGGACTTGTCTTTTGATCCTTTTCCTTCCAAGGGTAGGGTTATCAGATAAAACACAACCAGCAAAATCTGAATTTCAGGTAAGGAATTATAAAAAAATATATGTCTCAAATATTGAATGAAAAATACTCATAATAAAAAGCTATTCATTGTTTACCTGAAAGGCAAGTTTGAACTTAACTGGGTGTCCTGTATTTTTATTTGCTAAGTCAGGCAACCCTCCCTAAATGGCTCCTTGGCCTACTCACAAAGAGAACCCGACCACCCCGAGACGGAGAAACAGCCTCTCTCAGGCAGTAAAAGATCCTGCTGCCTCCCTCAGGGCCCTCCACTCGCAGGCAGGGGGCCAGGCCGGGGAGCAGGCGTCCTGCCCACGGAGCAGCGCCTCAGCCTGGCTCTCCAGTGTTAGGTTGCCTCACCTGGCTCCTGTTACGTGTGGAGAGTGCCTGGCCCATGGTCTCTGTGGATTCGGGGTTCCATCCTTGTGGTTCTAGACCCACAGTCCTGGGAGGCCTGGGCAGGGCCGGGAAGGGCTCTCTCTTCCCTTGTCGAGCCGGGAGGACTCTGCCTGCACCCCTCTCTCTGGCAGCAGCACGCCCCACACTGCCTCTGGAGGCCTCTCTCCCCTCGTCCTCCCAGCTACCTCTAATGACAAAACTGTAGGCCTTTCTTGTATTTTAAGAGTTTTACTTGCATGGGGAAACATTTCTTGGATGAGAAAAGTACCCATGGGAAAGTGACAAGGATTCTTTCAGAAAGTTCTGAGATTTCCTGGCCTCTACCCGGTAGTTCCTGGCTCACTCGGACTTCTGCCTTCTTTGCTCACCCTTAAAGGTGGATCGTGGCCCCACACATTCCCTTGGAAGGCCACAGACCGATAATCAGCTGGGATTGTGGGGCTTGCTGGCCTCAAGTGGGCTGTCGGGGCTTCAGAAGGCACCAGTCTGGGCAACCCCAACTCTGTGGCTGCCAGGGGCTGGGCTTCCCAGCACTGCCCTTCTTCCTTGTTTATAAAGATGAAAAATGGGGTAAGAGCAGCTCCACCTCACCCCCTCTGCCCAGGTCATAGACATGGGAGCTTGTGTGACATCCATCGGGACTCATGGCTCGGTCTTACCCAACACAGGCCCCAGCACCAGCAGACCAGATACCTTGGTGACAGCAAATGACGTAGAAGTTCCTGTTGTGACTCCAGGGGTCAGGACAAGTTCTGAGGAGGCCTTCCAGACCATTGACCTCACTGAGACCTCAGCACCAGGACGCGTCACTTTGGAAACTCAAACTATGAGCACTGAGACCTTTTCTAGGCTCTTAATCCCAGCCAGCACCGTTCCAGAAGCAGAGACCAGGGAAGCCGGGACTGTTTCCCCTGCCACAGAGACCAGGAGCCTCACAAAAAGAACAACTTCCAAGTTCATGGTCGTGATCTCCACCTGTGTGGAGACATCAGTCTTAAGTGGCAGCCCCACGGGAACTGGGATGACCACAGCTGAGACTGTCACAGGCAGTGATCCTGCAGACGCCATCTTTCACACCCTTTGTACCGATGACAGCTCTGAAGAGGCAAAGAGGGTCACAGCGGACGTCTTGACATCCGCTCACACCTCCAGAGAAGCTCAGGGCCTGTCCTCAGAGAGCGGCTCCTCCTCCGACAGCTCAGTTCCAGTCACCACCACCTCACCAGCCCTGGATCCTGGCGTCACCATTCCAGCGGAAGGCTTGGTGGCCTGCACCTTCGCCCACTTTGAGGTCACCAACTGCAGTGTGGCAGAAACAGAAATGGCAAGAACCGCCAGCCCCAGGGTCTCAGGTCACAGCCCCACGGGAGTGAAGGCCCCGTCCACCTCTGCTACGTCAGCTTTGCCAGACCCCTCTGACGTCAGATCCTACGTCACCGAGTCCACAATGTCTGCGGGGACCTTGTCAACAGCCAGCGCCACAGAGTCGGCCGCACCTGATGCCACCATTGAGACCCCGCCCCCCACCAGTAGCACCACGGAGACAGAAACAACAGCAGGCAAGGCCACTACCCTGAGCAGAGCTTCGGTGACGGTCAGCACTGACCCCTCGGGAGAAACCTTGGCCTTCTCTGTGGAGACGCCAAGCCACATGGAAGCCTTGGGAGCAGTCGCGGCCACAGAGGCTGGGTCGACAGTGGGCAAAGTGACTTCCGCTGCAGGGTCCTCAGCTTCAGGCTACAGCCCCTCGCTAGTAGCCACCATCCAGAAGTCCACCCGTGCAGGGCCACCTGCCACGGATGGTACAACTGGCGGGCCCCGCCCCGCCAGCAGGAGCCCTCTTCCTTCTGTCCCTCCGACTACAGGCAACGGCAGCCGAGGAACAGACACCATTGTAGCCAAGACCACGACCTCAGCAAAGACCTCGGCAAAGCCCCCGACGGCCACCAGCACCACTGCTCAGACGAGGCGGATCACGACAGCTCCTGCACGTAGGTGACTGACCCATGTGTGACCCTTGGGGATTTGGGATTTGGAGTTTCCAGGACGTCACATGCTTAAGGATGGGGAGGAAGGACAGTCCTGGGAGCCTGTCCTGAGCCCTCTCTCTCTGTTGCTGCCTCTTCGGGATCTTCTCGGGGTTCTTGCCAAAATCAGTGATGAGCAGACTTGGGGTGGTGTATGGAAAGAGTGCAGGGCTGGAAGTCTGAAGAAATGGTTTGAGATCTTGGCTTTGCCCTTAATAACCTGAGCGATCTTAGTTAGGCAAGTCTCTCTTCCTCTCCGGGCCTCCGTTCCTCCACTTGTAGTTGGCCAGGGTGGGGATGAGAGCTGAAGTCCTCTCCAGCTCTGACCTTCTGTGAAGTTAACTGTTTAGTCACTACCGTGCCGCAGGCGAGGCCCCAAGTTTTATTTAACAGACATGGCCCTCGTGCTTTGGAAGCTTCTATTCAAGCCACAGCCACACAGAGGGGCAGCATGTGGGCGTCTGGCCCAAGTTGCGGCTCTCCTAGTCCCGGGACCCCATGAAAGTGGGCTCACTGGGTGCGCTTGCTGGGGGTTGCACCATGGCCTCCACCTCTCCTTCCCATCACTTTGCCCTTGTGCCTTGTCCCTGCACATCCTCAACTTGCCTCCACCTTTCTGGGGAGGGTGTGAAAGAAAAAAATATTAATTACAACCACTTTCTTGAATATGTTTTGTTTCATTGCCCATCTGACAAGTTTGAAGATGGGAACTAAATTGCCATCCTAGGAAGATGCTGTGGACTCAAATGAAAGTCTGTTTGACCCCAAAACTCATAGTCTTCCCTCTGTACTTTTATTTTTAAAAGCTCAATTTATCAATCAATATATTTTTATTTTAAAATATTCTTCTCTATTATTTGTTGATTAGATAATGCGCTCACATGATTTAAAATTTAAAAGATATGAAGTGTGCGCCATAAAATGTCTTGCTCCTCCTGCCGTCCTAGCGACCCAGTTCTCACACATGCAACCCGTGGGAGGTTCTTGTTATACTTCTTACATGTAAACTGCTGGGCCTGAAATATGCACATGGAAGCAAACATATACACACACACACACATGATGTATGTATTTCATCCTCCTTTTTTATGCAAGCGGAGCACATGACAAACTCAGATGTCTGAGATAAAGCTGTTCTTATGTGGGGAGGAAGGAAAAGGTTTTCCCTTCATATTTTATGTTCACCTTTGTGGCCTCGTATTTTTGTCTCTTTGACTAATTTTTGTATCTTAGTTTTTAATTTTTACTTTATTATAGTGAGAACATTTAACATGGGATCTACCCTTTTAACAACTATAATACGGCATTGTTGTCCGTAGGCACGGTGTTGCACAGCAGATCTCTGGAAATTATTCATCTTGCATAAATAGAAGTTTAATGCCCATTGACTAGCTCTTCCCTGTTTCCCCCACCCCAGAAAGCTATTCTCCTTGATGGCTTCCCAGTATTCCATTTTTTTTTAAACCACCATTTATTTAACCAGTCTTGTATTAATGGACATTTAGGTTGTTTCCGGTATTTTGTTAGGACAAACAGTGCTTCAGTAAATAGTACATTTCTCATGTGTGTGTTATTTCCTGTAGGATAAACGTCTAGAAGTGCAATTGCTAGATCAGTTCTGATAGTATTGGTGATAGGAAGAAATGACTAGAAGGTGAGTAGGGGAAGGAAATTCTCAGTGACAGAACTTTCTTGCAAGCTGCTAAGCCAAGAAGGCCAGACTGAAGACCTCTTTCACCCCCCGACCCCAACTTTAAGCTGCAAGAATTGGCTTGGGGCATCCCTCAGACAGACAGCCTCTCTGGCATTCTCCCTGTTCAGGCTCTTTCCCATCAGCTCCATCTAGGACCTGTAGGCCTTTAGAACATTCTGGATCATTTCCATTCTCCTTCCTCACAATACACTTTGACTTCTCCAAATGCGAGTGGTACCTTAAGCCACCTTTTCTTTCACTCTCGTTGGGAGGACGCTCCAGTGGGCCTAACTATCCCAGAGAGGGAAACCTCCTTCCCCCTAGTAGTGAGTAAACATAAGGTCTGTGTGAACACTGACACGTGAACACACAAGAGTGCACACACATGTGCGGAGGGTGCCAAGGCTGATTAGCATTGGAGGGTGCCAAGGCTGATTAGCATGAAGCACGTCTTCACGCACAAACCGACTTGACCATGTTTTTATTTTCCTGCTGTTCTCAACTTGCAGGTGGAGATGGAGGCTTCCTCCTCCTGCGGCTGAGTGTGGCCTCCCCAGAAGACCTCACTGATCCCAGAGTGGCAGAGAGGTTCATGCAGCAGGTGAGTGGGCACTGTCTGGGCCAGGGCAGTGGAGGAAAGTGCGAGATCCCCAGGGACTGCAGGGGAGACCTGCAGAACACAGAAGAGCAACTACGGCACTTGGGAGGGAGTCTTGTTTCTTATGGAGTAATAGGAGCTGAATTTTAGGATCCCGGCTTAGCTTTGCTTCTGCCTGTCTACTCTGAGTTCTTCGTTCCCTTTCTCTGCAATGTAAACAAGTTCTTCTCCTAATCCCCAATTTCCTTAGGTCCTAGGAAACTCTGGCCTTCAGGCCCCTGAGGAGAAGGTCAATGATATTGATGGGCAGGTAGGCCGGACTCTTGGTTGCAAGTGGCAGAAACACATTTACACAAAAAAGGCAAGGCATGAGAAATCTAGAAGTGCCTCTCCAGCTTCAGTTATAGCTGGATCCAGCAGCTCAAACATGACCATGGCAATTTCCTCTTTCTCTTAACTCTGTTCCCTTCTTTCTCCATATGTACAAAAAGGCAACCATTGATAGCCCTACATTCACAAAGCAAAATTTGTGTAGCATCAGGGAAGAACTTGTCTCATTGGCCTGCAAAGGCCACCATGACTGACAGCCAAATCAGGACCACATAGAATGGCAAGGATGGGCCCAGAGAAAACAGGGATGCTAGACAAAAAAAGCCCCATAGATATGTGCTCTAGATAGAGACCAAGATTGGGATATTTGTACAACAACTGGGAATATCCTACTAAAACCGATATCATTGGGCAGAGTTTCCAATGGTGAAATTCTGGGTCAGGGCTTTGGGGAATGTTGTGACTCATTAGAACGTTAGACTAGGTCAGCTCAGCACAGACGTCATGGGCCCAGCTCTCTGAGGTATAGCTCCCCTACTCTACAAAGTAGGGGATAGAGCATGATGTGGTGGGAAGTGTCTAAGCTCTGCTCACAGGTTTACCAGTGAAAATGGGCCCAGTGCACAGTCTAATGTGAATCGACCCTTTGCAAGTGCCCCTGCCAACACTTCAAGCTTGCATTTGGCGCCTCTCATAGTCAGTGGGTGCCACACAGCTTATCAGTGGCTCAGGCTTGGTGTCACCCCTTGTAAGGATAAACCTGGCAGAGGTGCTGGCTGGGGGTCTTATGCCAGGGGTAGAGTCCACAACCAGGCTGGACAGATGAGATGACTACCCTTAGCAGATGGAAGCAGGACATATCCATTGCAAGTGGGATCCTTTGTTGTAGGCAAAAGAAAACCGCTGACTGTCTTAAGTAAAGGGGGCATTCATTGGCAGGGTCCCATGGTACACAGAATCAAAGGAATTCCAGCGGAGTGGGCTGGGAAAACAAGCAGGAGGAACCCAAGGGGCTCTGGGTGCGGGGCAGCGGGAACATTCCAGCTGGGACACTGTCACTATTGGATGCTGCCACAGCCAATGTGTGTCATGCTGCCTGAACATACTATTGCATATGAGTTCTCACTGTCCTTTTGTCTCTGAGTCATCTGTTCCAGGGTCAAAGTCCTGAGCGGGAACATCCAATATGCTAAGCTTAGCTTTTGTGCCCACATCTTGCTGCCAGGGGATGGGAAGAGGGCATGTCTGGGTACTTCCGGCTCTCTGAGGACTCCTGCAATAAAGAGTTGCCTAAATGTGGCATAGGGATTTGACACGGGACAGCCAAATAAATGACGAATGCCCTCTGCACATGATAACCGAAGTATCGAGTATGCATCCTAGTCGAAGACAGAAGCCAGGGTTGAATGTCAGATCTGAGCCACCAAACTGGAAACTATTTCAGGAGTCAGAAAGAAACCAGGGAGCTCAGGAGCAGGCCAGGCAGTTGAGGTGCAGGTGCCAGACCATGGGGGTGTCCGTGTCAGTTCTTGTTGGGGCCACCAATGGGGGTCAAGCAATGAGCTTTGGAGCAAGATAGGTCTCGGCATGAATTCTAGTTCCTAACTGTGTGACCATGGTAAGTTATTCTATATTACTTTCATCCCATATAAAATGAGAATAACATCTGCTTTATAAGGTTGCTGCAGGGTTTAAATGATATAACGTGTGTGAAGCACCCAGCCGATGTTCAGCATGTGGGAGGCTCAGGAAGTGTTGCTGTGTTCCTCGTGTGTTCTGTCCCACTGTCCTTCCTGTGTTTGGCCTGTGGCGAGCTCACAGGCAGATGGGCAAGTACTATCACCTGGCTCCTTCTGATCTCCAGCTCCGCCGTGAACTGCATACCCACCTGCCTCTCATCCAAGTCTCCCTACTGCGCACCAGGAGGGGTTAGAGAATGTCAGCTGCTGCCAGGCATGTCCCATGTGCCCAAACAGGGACAGAGGTGCCTGTGGCCTGGGTCCCCACCAACAGACTGGAAGCACATTACTGTGCTGAGATGTACCTGGAAGAGTCCCACGAAGGGCAGCTGGCTCAAGCTCCCCACCCCAGATGTGGCAACAGGACCCTGGCTCACGTATGCCTGCGTGAGTGTGTGTGTGTGTGTGGGGGAGGGGGCTTCCTCTGTTCCCAGACATGTCCTTGACTTCCTTGGCACATGTGCTGTGTTTCAGTAAAGAGAGACCTGACCACCCACCTGTGTGTTTCCACCTTGATCCTCAGTGTGGCCCAGAGGCTGTCTCTTTGACCTGTATGCTCTTGACATTTTTATAGGGATTTTGTGTGTCCTTAAGGCTACCTCTCTCCTTCTTGTTCCCCCAGTTCTTGTTTGGACCCTGGTTACAACACGTACTATGGTCAGCCCTAGAGCCTGTTGAACGGCGGGGGGCTCCTTCAGGGCAGGACCGTATTCGTTCATTTCAGCATCCCCTGAACCTAGTGGAGCACATGGCCTGTGGGAGAAAATGTTTGTTGAATTGACTTGAATGCAACAATTTGAATGTTTGTTGAATTGACTTGAATTGCAAGTTCTGGACACAAGCAAATTTAAAAGAAAGGCTGCAATCCTCAATTATTCCTCCCATAACTCATAACTCACATGTTATTACTTTTTTAATTAAACATGCCTTATTGTTTTTCTCTACTTTAAAAGTGAAACTTGTTTATGATTTTTAAAATTTTGAAGAACTAAAAAAGACCAAGCAAAAAAAGAAGTCAGAAGAGAAAGGAAAGAAAAAAATTTCTAAAATCCCAACTTTTATATACAACTATTATTGATGCATATATCTAGTTGTATATTCAGCCTCTCCACTTGGATGTTATGAGATACCTCACATTCAACATTTCCCAAAGTCCTGATCTTCCCGAAACCGGCTCCACCTGTGTCTTCCTCATCTCAGTTAAGCTCCATTGTGTCCTTCAGTTGCTCAAACCAGAATCCTTGGCACCATTCTTCATCCCTCTTTCTCTTACAATTTCCACCAGCAAATTCTGTTGGCTCCACTGCCTCAAACTATGTCCAGAATCTGGCCCCTCCTCAAACTCTCCACTGCTATCACCAAGATGGTCCAAGATGTGGGGTGCGGTGGCAATGCCATTCCAAGATGGCGCCCGCTTCCTGGTCAAACCCTGCTGTTAGTCTGACAAACAACGTGCTCAGCGCATGTGCAGAGTTTGTCTGCTCCCTTCCAAGTGCCTTATTCCAATCAGACAATGCCCAGTGTACTTACTGCCTTTATAAAGCAGCGCCGGAGAACGGCCTCGGCGTCTCCGCAGTGTAACCAGCTAAGCAATCCCCATGTAAGAGCGCTGTCAGAAGAACTCTGGTTGCCGCGTCTTCCTTGCTGCGAGCGCCGCGCGACAAGTGGTGCCGAAAACCCGGGAACCGAAAAACTTCTGAGGCACCAGCGGAGACGACCTCGATAGAGGAGAGTTCAGAACTGATGCGTGGACGAATCGAATTCGAGGCCTTTGTGACCAAGGTAGACTGTTTGAGAGCGCCGGAGTTGCCCTGCTTTCGTTTACAGCAGGCAAAAAGGTGCTCTTTGCATCAAGACAGTAGTTCAGAGTCAAGACGAAAGGGGAAGACCCAAGTGAGGGCGGGAAAGCGAGGCCAGAGCAGGCGAGAGCCAGGAGAAGGGAGAGAGAAGAAGAAGGAGAAAAGAGAGAAAGAAGGAGAAAAGGAGAGAAAGGAGGAGAAAAAGGGAGAGAAAGGAGGAGAAAAAGGGAGAGAAAGGAGAAAGAGGAAAGAGAAAAGGAGAGAAAGAAATGTAAAGGACCAAAAATAAAATTGACAAAGGAAGGACAGGACAGACAGACAGAGAGAGCCTGCTTGATACTGATAACATCCTGTTCCTGTTGAAGCTCCGTAGCTCTTGACTCTGTTTAGATCTCGAGAGATGCGGGATCACAGCTGCGATTCATACTGCTCAGGCTCTCAACAATCTATTGCTGAGTAGCGCAGCCCTCGACACTCAAGCCACTCTGAATGCCACTGTGAGGTGATTATGCTTCTGAATCAGCAGTGGATTGTAGTACAGAGACCAGGGACACTCTTGGCAGCTTGCGCAGGCTGGTTGGAGTGGGAGAGACGACCGGGCGCTCTGTGTCACTTCTGTGCTCTATGAGACTTTACCTTTGCCGCTAATCTTTCTAGACAGCGTGTCTGGCATCTAACAGGCAACTGTCTGCACAGTTAGATTCTCACTCAGAGACCTGAGACTGCCATCGTGCACGCGCCGGGAATCCACTCGTTGGATCTGAGCCTTTTCCACAGAGACTGACAGCATGGATTCAACAAGCAGGCCATCATCTGAAGAATGGTCAGTCCTTGCAGGCCGTGGCGGCGTCTTGCTGATAGTTGCGCTGTTGAGCGACTGTGGTGCATCTGTAGCTACGCCCAGAGACTGAGGCGCTGAGTGGGACAGTCTCACATAGGTGTGTTGGACCATTGCTTAAGTTAGCCTACCGGTTGGCACCCGCTCCTAGCCCCAGGCAGGTTGCAGACAGTGCCTTTGCACTCTGACGGATCTCTCCCATTGCACCAGAGAAGGCATGTCCTCAGTCCCACAACCAGCCTTTGCACACCTCAGAGTTTTGCTCATTGCACGAGGTAAGGTGGTTGTTGTTGGGTAAGTGAGGCTCTGCATCCTTGCTAAACGGTTGCTCAGTTCTCATTTAATTAATAAAATAGGGGGACCAAGATGCTACCATCTCTCATCTGGATTACTGTAGACCACTGGGTCACTACAGGTCTCCCTGTTTCCACCTTTGTCCCACAACCCCAGTCTAGTCCTGATATGGCAGCTTCTCCACTAGATCTCCGCTCAGCTAACTCCTCCACCTCCACCTCCTTCATGTCCCTTGTCAGTGAGGCCTACCCTGACCACCCTATTTAAAAATGCAACTTTCCCTCTTCTGCTTTGATTTTATTCATAGCACTGATCACAAGCCAACATCGTGCATACTTTATTTGTCTTGTTTATTATCTGTGTCCCCCAACTAGAAATGGAAAATTTTGCCTTTTACCGTATCCCTAGGACTGAGAACAGTGCCTGGCACATACAAGGTGCTCAGTGACTATTTGTTAAATGAATGAAGGAAACAATAAAACTACGTTGATATTACTCTGAATAAGGGGAGTGTGAATATTCAACTGACTCCCTTCTATTTCCAGAGTGGGGCAGAATGAGTTTCATAAAGTAGGTTGGATAAAAATAAGTCAAACATTCATCCTGGCATATTTGCTGAGCTCCTACCACAGAAGACAGACTATGCTATCTGCCATGGAGGGTTCAAAGATGTCTCTTCCCACCGGGATTAAAGTTACTAGGGGAGGTGAAACATCTACAGAAATAACAAACCGAAAGAACTTATGTACACTACATATATCAAAAACAGAATGCCCTTAACATATAGAGAACTCTTATAAAGCAATAAAAAGACAAACATACCAGTAGCAAAAAAAACAGAAGGCTACAGGTAATTCACAAAAGAATATAATCGTGTGAATAAAATCAGTACAACCTTTTTGGAGGACAATCTGACCATTTATCTAAAGCCTTAAAAATGTGCCTACTTTTAACTCAGCAATTTAATTCCTTGTTTATCTTAAAGAAATAATTAAGAATCTCTGCAGAACTGTTTATAACAGTCAAGAAAAGAAAAAGACAAAACACAAAATACCTGAGATATCCCAATGTGACCATTTGCTTAAATATAGTGTTATTTCATACAGTCCATAGAAGTGTTATTGACATGTATATTTATTAAGATGAAAAGAAGCTCATGAAATATTATTTGGTCTTCCCTTATTTTTTTTTAATGGAAACATCTTTTTTTTTTTTTCCACTTCAAACTACCTTTCATACTTATCTCTAGAGCTTTCCTGTCTAAAATCAAAACTATTCCTGTTCCTACCTACAGGATAAACCCCAGCTTGGTATAGAAGGGTCTTTGGCATATGGCCTCAGCCAACTCCCTCAGCTCCAGGTCCTGTATCCTGTGCCCCTTCCACAGGGAGCATCTCACTCTCCTTGTCACACCTGCTTTGACCCAGAGTGTTGGCACATTGAGATTCTTCCCCTATTCATTCTTAGAAGCCCAGTTCAGATGGCACCCTTCATGACCTTGTCAAATTCCCTAGAGAGGAGCTGGTTTCTTAGTCTCTTTCCATACTGTATTATTATGTTTTTACTTATTTGTTAAACTGTACATGCTTCGGGTCAAGAACCAGCTAGTGTTCATCTCTGCAGTCACAGAGCCCAGCATGGGGCTCTACACACCAGGACGCTCACAGGTGTGCTGAACAACTGAGATAGACGATGGGCCATGTGAGCGGAGAGCCCTGAAATACAGGCACTGGGCTCTGAAAGTTTCAACAATGGCATTCAGTGTTGAAGTCAAACAGAATATAAATTTGATGATATACATGTTACGAAGTTGCGCTCTAATTAGGCATGAATGGAGAACAGTTTGCATAAATGACAATAACGCCACTGTTATTTAACATAAACCCAATTTTTAGGTTTTTTCCTCTTGCTTTGTACTTCTTCAAATTGGTGACACCTAATACAGTGGTTAATCTTAATTATTACATATGAGGACACACATGTACATACAACACTGATTACTGTTGTTATTGGAAGTCAAAAAATTTGTAAAATTTGACTAGCCTAAAAACTGGATAAAATATGAGTTAAACCAGTTAGAAGCATTTGGAAATTAAAGTGTATAATTATGATTGCATATGAGAGAGAGATGAGAAGAAAGAGGAAGAGAGAGAATGTGGTATGTGTGAGACAGAATTACTGGAGATGATCCAAGTTATTAATAGCAGAAGTAAGTTGCCAAACCAGCAAGAACCAGAAGTACCTGGAGAAAATTCTAAAGGTGTGTATATATGAGGTGAAATGCCACATGTTTCATGAAGACAAATGTGGGTGTGGACCTAAACAAGATAGTCTGTCTAAAGTCACCTGTGACCCAGCATGAACTCTGAGAAGACAAAAACCCAGAGCTATGATGAGGCCAACGTGAGGTGGAATTTTTCTGACCAAAGTCTTCATCAGAAACCTCTGCCACAGCCAGAGTTTCGTAGTTTTCCTCATATAGACCTTGTGCATATTTTGTTAGATTTATATCTGAGTATTTCATTTGGGGGGGGTGTTAATGTAAATGGTAATGTGTTTTTAATTTCAAATTCTAATTGTTCTTTGCTGGCACATAGGAAAGCAATGGTCTTTTGTACACTAATCTTACTTATATTATGAAACCTTGCTATTACATATAATTGCTTTTTAGTTTTGGGAATTTTTTTGTTGATTCTTTTAGATTTAATTTTTTCCTAACTGCTGTCCCCATTGCTGATTCCCTGGAAAAGGGATTAAGTCATTTCAGCTCTCTTTTAAAGAATACACTCAAGAACCATGCCATTCACCCCATCTTTAGATCTGGAGTACCCAATCCCTAATACACTGTCTCTGTCCTTTCCTAGACCCAGGTAGATCTTCTAGGTTCTCCATCCCACAGTCCTCAGCTCTATTCTGTCTCCACTTGTTCCCAGCAACCTGTCCATCCCTGTTCCAATCAAGTGTGGAAAGGAAGTGTCAGAGAGGAAGTCACATGATATAAACTGTGTGCTCAGGCTCACTCTTGTGGGTGGTAAGTGGTATTGGAGGAAGCTTCCAGAAAAACATGATCTTTAGCTAAACAGAGATTCCAAACTGTCACTTTGAATAGAGAATAAGTTCTCCCAGCAGGTGACCCATCTGCTTAATTCTTGATGTAGGATAATGCTGTAGCTATGATTTTATATGGAGACTTGATTAACTTAGGCAA